CTTCACATGCATTATTTTTCAGGATGCTTTTAACAGTCAATAAAGCTCCTGAAATACTTTAAACACAACCAAAGACTGGCTGCAAAGTACCTAAATCAATTTAAGAGCAGAGGTTTGTTCTGCCCTGGGAATTACTAAATAGAAACACAGGCACCATTTGGTGGTAGAGGTAACAACACCCTCCCCAGCCCAACGCACACATCCAGCCCAGGCGCATGGCTTACAGTTCTCCACCAGCAGTACCTATACAAACACCGGGGAATCCTGCTCTGCTCAGCACCCTTTTTTCAGCAGGCAGCTCTACACTTCAGAGCACATGGAAAAGTGCCCTCTATTAGCCAAGAGCGTAGCCTGGCAGGAGACTGGTTTAGTGGTTTGTCCAGCATAATTCAGCTTCCTGCTCCGTTCTGCCCCAAAGTCCAAGGGGAGAGCTGTCATTTCTGCTCACTTCGGTAAGTCCAGGGCAAAGGACAATCTTTTGTTTCCCTGTTTATTAGGCAAACCAGGTACAAACCCCAAAGGTTAGCCATGGGCCATATACACACTGTCATTACATCTTTAATTAAAATCCTTACAGCACCGCACACAGCACATGTGTCACGGCCTCGGGTACCACCCCGCCCATGCACAGCTGAGCAGAGATCCTTGGAGCAGCTGTGCCGATCCCACACAGTGCTTTCTTACAAAAGATCCCAGAGATTACACGTTTCGGGAGGGGCACAGTGGCTTTGGTAAATACACCTCAAAGGCGATTCCTGAAATTTGCAGATCACTGACTGTGGCTTATTTTAATATAACAATCGAAGAAGCGTGATGACAGGCAATTTCAATAGCAAGGCATTAATGTGCCCTGTAGATGAAAGAGACCATCCTGCAGCAACAACTGCAGATGTTAAACCTCGGCCACAGCAGCTGAATTGCTGCCGAACTGCTCTGCTCAGTCTCCTTTGCTCAGTTTGCATCTTCAGCTGCAAGTAGGTTCTTAGAAGATGAGTAGCTGCACTGGCAAGCACACGACAAGAGGAGCTGACAAATTATAAGCTTGCCTGCTTGCTTGTCCTATAGCAGCAAATCATGAAGTGGCTGATGACCAGTTAGTTTGAGTTTAGAGAATTTGCAGCAGAGAAGAGTTGTAGAAACTCTTTACTAAATAATATCAATAAAATACTCATGCTAAAAGTCTTTGTTTCATTTTACCCAAGGAAATCATCTTGATAATTCCCAATTCATCAGCAGGATCAGAGTGACATCCCAAATTCCCATTTGAACTCTTGTCATCTGTGATGTCATAGTTCGGACACATGAGTCTGTCCAGCAATACCTATGTGCTAAAATGGAGTTCTAAAATACGAATGATGAGGGCTTGTTTCAGTAGCTTACAGCATGGATACGCCACGTACGACAAGAAACGTGGCTGAGTTACAGGAGGGCAGACCACTCAACAAGCACGTGGCAAGTGAGATCCTTTGATACAGATTTCCACAGGGTGTTTGGCAAGCTCTCTTACCAAAAGTGCTTTACAAAGCTATCATGAGATAATGGAGAAGCTTTTCTACATGAATAAATCGCCACTGGAAAGCTAAGGAGCCAGAACCCACAGTTTTCACAACCGAGAGAGGTCACCAGCAGAATAACACAGTGCTGGGGCCATGCTAATCGCTGTATTCATAAAAAGCTGAAAAGAAGGTGAACAGTGAAATGTAAAGTTTACAGCTATCACCCAGGGAAGTACAGAGGAGGATTGACTATAAGGAGCTACAGGACTTTATTTCATTAAGCAATGGGGTGAGAGATGCAGATTACTTATGTTTACACTGACTGACAAAATGATGCATTGGGAAAACACAATCCTAATAGCTCTATGAAGTGTTAGCTTGATGTACGCTGGTTATTAAGAAAAAGCAAATTCAGCACTGGGAATTAATCAGAAAAGAAAGAACAAAACAGTATTATGCCAAGACATAAATGAGGTGAAGGATTTATATAAACAATTGTGCATGCAGTTTTTCAACTCATGACACATCCCTGCAGAGAAACATGAAACAGAAGTATGCACGGAGAATTTCTTTTTACTCCATGAGTCTGTCTCTCTCCTGTGTACTCAAGAACCACGACATTCTCTGAAGTAGAAGATTGGAGCCATAACTGGAAAGCACATTATCGCTTGAACATGCTTTCAGAAGTTGTAAATGAGGGAACAAATGGGATAATGAGATTATTTAAGTTACAAGTAGATAATCACCAGGTACGATGCATCTCTTTATTTTAAGGGAAATGGTTCTATAGCTCAGATTAAATTCTGCCTAATTCATTCCAACAGGCCAAACCATCAGAACTGCTTACCTTGAAAAATTTGGGCTATCCAAGCAACTGGGAACAGCAGGTGCCTGCTCAGTAAAGACTTAATACAAAAGTCATCAAGAAAAAGAACCAAACAGGCATGTTTTCCTTCTGCTCTTGCACAGGTGAGACAGGTCTGTCTGGCAAGTTCTGGCTCAAGCTCCTTTGGTGGGTTCAAGTACCAGCAGGCCATGGCTAGTAACAGAGACCCAAAAATGGAAATCTCAAAGCATAGCTATTTAGTGCTGCGTGGTACCTGCTGGAGAAATCTTTTGCTTCACATTAACCATACAGGGAACTTAAGTTCAGCACAGTCCATCAGCTATCCCATGGTAACTGACTCTGCAGTCTTTTTGGGTGTATGCTCACAGTGCAACTCACTTCTCAGTTGCTCCGTGCCTCTATGGGACGGCAGCATGAACCTAGCCAGGGGCACCATGTCAGCTCTTCGGCAGTACGTTCAGACCTCCCATCTGCCCTGGCCTTTGTAGAAGTGCCCTTATCCTGACAGTGCACCTCATCCACAGGGTAACACCTACCAGCCATCCCAAGACTGTCACTTATGAACTGCTCCGCATACAAAATCATTCCATTTGCCGACAGATCGCAAATGGTGCTAACAAATAAATTACCTGCTGCCTGCTAAGAGAAACTGGTGATGACCCCATCTCAGAAACCGTAACAGTTTTTTCTTAAGGAATGATTACTTGAAAAACACCACTAAAGAGGCAGTAAGTGATATTACTAAATTCATTCTGTTGTCATCATTAGGTGAGTCAACTTTCCTGTTCTGTGCTAATTAGATCAGTTTGCAGAAGCTCAGAAAGAAGAATATTAACCAAAGTGTACCTGGAACATCCCAGGAACAGACGGAGACAGCCAGAAGGGATTTCCGAGTACTCATTGCCTATGAAATTTTGGAAACCTCTTAAACCAGTCATTCAAGTTAGGTCAAGATATATGGGTTTAATCCTTCCACTCCCTCTAGCAAAGTACAAAGCACTTTGTCAGTGCTCTTTCAACTGAGGCCAAATCAGCAGGTTTGTCTGTTTCACTAATGCAGTAATGCTGATTTTCTGTGCCTCCTGACAGAAGGCAAAGCTTCCCCTCACATGTGATTTTGCTCCCCATTCAAAGTCAGTGTACTGATAAATATGAAATCTAGATTCTAAGACCTTTTTCTGTTAATAGGTGCCATGGGTATAAAAATATCTTGTTGGGCCAGTATCACACCAATTTACAGTATAGAAAGTAATGTCCTCTGTGACAAAATAACTGCCTCTGTCCCTTAATTACTCGAATGACACCTGCCAGAGTAAGCCCATCCCTGGTTCACACCTTCTGTGATTACCACTATCTGAAGTTTGTAAGCCTACCAAAAAGATCATTGTTTATCCTAGATTAAATCCAGAATTAAGTGCTATAGGCATAGTGCACTCAATATGATTGACTGTCTTGCACCACGCTGCCTTGGAGACCAGCAGACAAAAGTCAGAGACAGATGATCCATAGTCCTCTTCCTTGGAGGAAAGATCCCCCTCTCCTCTACCAGCCAAAGAGTATTTGCCAAGAAAGCTCCAGAGAGAAAAAAGAAAAAAAAAAAATCAGATTCTACCTGCAAATTCTCCTTTCTTACCTAGAAATAAAAGAATAGGACTGAGACCTCCATTTTCTTTCACAAAAGTTGTCATAGTTAGGGACTGAGGTCAGACTGTGCGGAGAACACGCATGATGGGACATGAGTCTGTGCTACGGCAATGACACGACTCGCATGCATCAGCCTCACAAAGCAACTGCACTGCAAGGCTCCACCCTCCCCCGCTTACACTCGGCCAAAGCACAGCACAGAGGCTGCACCTCGACTAGTGAGGCCCGTGTATCTGCTACTGCAGGCCCCCAGGTCAGAGAGAAAGGGGGACACACAAAGCCTGACCATCTATATTTTTCCTGCCCGGCGATAACATCAGGAGCACTGTTTGCAGCTCACTATTACACCACGCAGACGCCTCCACAATGATGCAGCAATCTTTAATGTGCATTTAAAGGCTTCTACTGGAGGTACTCTAAAAGCAGTGAAGGAATTCTTCAGAGCAGCAATCACCACCAATGAAAGCATATACTATCAATAACAGACTTACTTACAGTATTTAGCTAAATGAGTGGTCAACACAAGACATCCCTCAAAAAAAGGAATCTTTAATTCGAGTGGCATCAGCACAGTGACTATCCCCATGTTCTCGCACAGTCCCAGCAGAGCAGAAAGGGAAGTACACTAATCCAAGCAGTGACCGTTCCTCCCTAGCAGGACCTGTTCATCATGGCCAAGACCTATATTGATCCTAAAAGGTACCATAACTTGCAAATCATGAGCTGAGCCTAGTGCTCTCTGGGTATCTGGTGCACATCAAGTCATCAAAACACCTCTGTTTTCTCTCAGCTGGAGCTGGATTGGAGACAAGAGTCAAATTCAGGAAGTTAGTTTTTATTCTGTAGTTCTACAGAATAGTCCTTTCACTGGAGTTGTTGTAGCATGAAAATGTTTTTCAGTCAGTCAGAACATGGCCTTGTTTTTGGTTTTTTGGTTTTTTTTTTTTTTTTTTACACAATTGTTTACTTTCTACAGTTGTATTAGAGAAAAATTAAAAGGGATGAATCTAGCTGATCATATTTCTACCAAACGACAAGAGTCAAAAACTTTTGCTTCGAAGTATTCATCCACAGATACTTCCTCAACACCTGCAGAAAAGCATCAAGGAGATCCAACTGCAGACAAGTTGAGTACTTATCTAGTTAGACCCCACCTTCATCATTTGTATCAAAGACCATCTTGTTCATATACTGACAACTGCCTACTATTACAGTACTCAGCAGAATTTAAATATTTTAACTTCCCAAATCAAGAAATGAAATTAATCTAAAAATATTTTAACGTAGCAAGTTTGGCTATAGAACCAGTGCAACATAAAGAGGACACCCATTGTATAACCAACTTTACTGCTTAATCTTAACAGAGTAAGCTACAGATGCAACGGATTTACCACAAGTTATTTGATTAAATTAAATACTGCTGTTAGGATCATGCTGTTGGTAATTGTGGCTTTACAGTACCAACGCTCAAGTTGGCCAAGTTAGTTTTACTGTAAGTAAAATGCAAGTTTACAGAGAAACAATTTAGTATAGTATGCTGTATTCTGTTTCATGCTCAGTCACAATGATAACGTCTTCGACAGATAAACAATATTTCAGCATTATGTTAATAATGCCAAAACATACAGGAATTTTAATGCCAAATTTACAACATAATACAGTGCTTAACAAACAGATTTCTCAGGTATGGTGGCCAAGTGAGAATGCTACACAGGACTGAGAAGCATCCAAGCACTACCCAGTGCATACAAAGTGAACCATGCTGACAGGAATGCTTTACTTTTTGATGGAATTGTTGTTCTAGAAGTTTGTGTCCCAAACATAATGCAACATAAAATGAATGTTGAACCCTTGCCTCAAACACGAAGCAAAAGGACTACGTTATTTACAAACTTGAACCAGTAAAACCACTTTAAGAACAGAAAAACATTGTGATCACTTGACAAAGATGACAGAGCTTGATTATTGTACTATGTGAGCTAGAACGGTAACAAAGCTGTAAAAAAAATTTAACCAAATTAGGTTAATGTATCTATTCTTAACCCAAGAAAACAGTGATTTTTAAAGCTAAGGACACTATCAGAGGTTTTATTTTTGCTTAAAGCCAAAACTGATAAAATTCTGGAAGCTGGCAAATTGTTTTTGTTCCCTATTAACCTTCATTAACTTCTCCATTGCATACTTCAGCAAAATTTTTGAAATTCCCATTTTTGTCTAATTCTGCTTCAACTTAGAAGCAAACACTTACCAACACTTGAAAATCACTACTCAGAGTGGTTTGAATTTCCACTATCAGGGATGACACTAGACTGCTGGCATTGTTCTACACAGAAAACAAAATGCTGAAGCAACAATTTTTAAAGAAAAACTTCCTCAAAAATTAAATATGCTTTGCAAATATGCAAAGAAATATATATGTAAATCAGATTTGAATCTGTCAATCATAGCAGTTGTCCTCATTCATCATCCCCCCCTGCCCCTCAAACTAACAGCATTGCGAAAGTGGCTGATGTGAAACTGATAATTAAATTCATTTACATGAAGTCTGGCTACAAAACAAAACGAAAAAGAAACTTTGTCCCTGCCGCATCTACTTTTTAATCTTTTTCCTGCATTTTGTAATGAACTCATGCAAGCAAAAAGGGGGTTGTGTTGGGGTTTTGTGTGGTTTTTTTTTTTTTTTTTAAACAGGCATAAGAGTTGTGCAAGACAAAACTGAACAAACAATTGTTTCACTTCAGAAAGATTTTATATTACCAACTTATTTCTCTTGATAACTAAAGGTCATAAAAAATAAATCCATAGTAATAAAAAAAAAACCCAACCCTGTAATCAAACTGCTGTTTCAAGTATGTTCCTCCCCTCATGAAAGAATTGTATTAGCCATACTACTGATTAAAACCCATGTCACAATCATTAGGATTCAGACCATAGGTCCAGATCTCCTGGAACTGGGCTCAGCTGGATTTCCAGCTGAGTTTACACAAGACTGGAAACAGGAGGCCAATGTGTATACATGCATGTGTGACACCACTCCTCAACTCCTTGATTCTGACAACATTCACTATCACACCCCCATCACATCCCCAAAACAGGAGAAATGGCACACGAGCCATAAAGTGATCTTGGACAGGTACCATTGTTTGCTGATCAATCAGGTGCAAATCTGGTTTGTGCTGACGGAGATGCACTTTGCAGACCTACTAGACCGGAGAACTTTGTCCACAATGTCCACATAGCACAGCATAAAGCACATCATATTTCATTCAGTCTGGAATTCACTTCTCAATCTATTGCAATTACGGAAGCCAATGAAAAGTCAATGAGAGGGTTTCTATGAGAGTTGGTCCCAGCATTAAACACTAACACATACAAAAAATAAAAGGGGACAAACTTCCAAGTCACTATCAGCAATGGTGATAGGTTCAACTTTTCTTCCTTCACCTCCCATTAATGCAAGAGAAAAGTGCAACTTTGCAGCATGTTTGTTCACATCAAGTTTTTCCTCAAGAACACATTTTGCAGTAACAAAATATGGTCTGTAAAGTTGCAAAGTGCACAAGCTGAAGGCACAGAGTACAAACACATAGGAAAACAGATTTCAAAATACCAAATAACAAAAAAAAAAAAAGAAAAATCTGGAATTTAAAACTCCCTGACAGAAGATACATTTATATGGGACCAACCCTTAAAAGGTGACAATTTTTAAACTAATGAACAAATACTGCAAAATAATGAAACTTTATTCTTATTATTTAAGTAAAAGCTCCAGAAAATACCTTGAAGTTTAAAAACTAATACACTGACGTGTTAACTAGTTTTAAGAATGTCCTTAATATTAAGAAAAGAGTGCAAAAAAGATTATTCCGTTCTAACGCTTTTGGAAGCTGCTAATTTCGGCTGCCCCATTTCCACTTTGAAAGGATTCTTTTTCAAGGTGCATTCCTCACAAAAATCGCAGAACATTAACTTGTTGAGAGGCCAGACCAAGGATTCATGTCTTTCAGTCACCCCAAATGTAGCAGCAACTGACATTTTATTATATCAAGAAGAAAGTCCAAAACTCTTCTTTGAGACATAGTCCGTGTCAGAGCTTGAGTATCAGCAGTTGCCAAAGGAGGCTCCAAATACCACCTGTGCTCCTCCAGTGTCTGTTCTGGCTAGGAATAGAAGCTGATCCACTATATTCACTATCTGTACCCCCTGGAACTTGCACAAGCTGATGAGCCATCTGAAATTATATAAAAAGTTCAACAAATTCTCTCATATTCAACTTTCACTCTATGTCCTTTGCCCCCCTTCCCCCAATAACCTGAAAACCAGCATTACCTGCGAAATATTAACAGTATAAACCGAAGCTGATATACCAAGTAAACAGCTATTCATTCATTTCAGATTGTAGTAAGAGTTCATCATAAAACCGTACATTTTATGGCAGGAAATAAAACAAATGTAACCTGCTGAAAGCACAGGAAGAAGCTTGGCAGAAAGAATACAATAAAATGAACTGAAATGAACAGTACCAGAACAGATACTATTTCCCAATCCCCAAGGCTATTTAATGACCAGTAATCAGGACACTGTATTTAATCCTGACCTAAAATGTATAGGACTAGATTCTCTCCTGGCCAAATATTTAGTCAGCACAGAACATGGGACCTTTGACTGACTGCACCCAAGTTCGGGATGTTTGGAGTAGAGCAACCAACTGAGAATGGAAATATCATTCCTCTATGTGCTTCTTCCCCCCCACCCCCTCATCTATATTGGGAGAAATTAAGGGAGTTACAAAGTTAAGAACCTCATAGTTAAACATGCAGCAAGAGACTTCATCTACAAATGGAAGAGAACTTCCTAAATACTGCCTTTAGTATCTCAACACAGGTGGACCCCGTGTTGTATTAGACACGTAATTGAGGGTTCTAAGTTGAAAAGCACAACACTTCCAAACCCTCTGTTCTGTCAACAGACAGAAATATGCATCACCAGCAGGTGATTTATATCAGAGGCAGACTGTATCATCATTTCATTGCCTGTAATGTGTATCCTGACCAGGAACAAACTTGGGACAACTACGTTCTTGTTCCTCAAGACCTCAGCTGTGTACTTAAATGAACTGGAAATATCTTGGCCTCAGCAGCTGGGATATTTTACTACCTCACAGGTGGCTGTGGGACTCCAGCACAGTTAACCAGGCCCAAGAGGTTTGTACCATTACTTCGAATGGTAAAGGTTACACTGGCAGACAGCAAGCTACAACCTGTATGCCCAACTCATCAGGGACTGCAGCGCACTGGAGAACAGGGTTAGACGCATACTTACTGTAAGTTAATTCTTCTCCAGCTCTCTTGCGTGACTGGTCACCTCTAGGAAAGAAGGGGAAGAAAGGTATTTTCATTTTAAGAACAGGAAAACAATAGTGAAATACCTCAGGGCAAACATCAGTTTTTACAGACTTTAGAAACAAAATGCAAACATAGTAGCAATAACACATGACTGCAGGATTCTCTATTTACTAAGAGAGAAGTGTAAGCTGTATTTTATAGATGTAATTAGCTCATCCTTTTGTTAAAGACAGTAGGTTTGATTTTATAAGATAATTTTTTACATAATGAAGGTGAAAAATTGCTCCTATGCAATGCGGTCTTAAGTCATGCATAAAAATTGTTTTCCTTATTCAAACTTCACAACCGAAGTTTACAGAACTACATTAAAAACTCCTGAAAACCCAACAATCAGACTCTAAGCAAGCCTGTGCTGACAGCGCTCCCTCGTCAAGCAGATTTAAATAACTAACTGAAGTTGTATAAACACCGGTTGACATCGTTGCACGTGAAAACCCAAAGTCAAATTCCCATCTATTTGGAAAACATTTTTTCCTTTTTTTTCTTGGGCATGCAATATCTTAAAGCTGGAAAATCTTGCTGCTTCACAAGTGTCTTGTGATGATAGATATGCTATTGAAACTGTTATATAAGGAAGAGAGATTCCAACATATTTTCATCACAATGGTTATAATTTCACATTTATCTGCTGGAAGTTGGTAGAAATTGTGTGTTTTTCTAATAATATGAAGAGTTCTTCCCTGAAACCACTTTTAAGGTGGTGGACCTGCTGTGTATGCCTTGGTTAAGGTCCTTCACAAGAGAAATACCACCAAGCAATTGACTTGTGTTCCCACCTTCTGCAGCAACAGTATTTAAGTGTTGATAAGCTGACTATTTCAGCTAGAACCTGACATGCCATTAATGCTGATGAAGACACCTCACTGTGCTGTGTTCCTCATGGTTATTGTTGTAGGAAGTGCAGCAGCAAAGACATCACCATTTTTTGGGCACAATTATAGGAGAACAGATGACATTTCTTGATAGCCCAGAAGAGAACAGATTTAGCACACTTCTTGGTAAAAGAGAAAAACTACTCTTTTATACATATAAACATGTATGTATATATATGTAGGAATATAACATAAAAACAATTCTGAAAGTTTATGAATAAATATAACCTGTGTTCCTGAACATAGGAAGAAGCATCTTGAAACACATTTCAAGGCAAAATGCATTTCAAATACCACTGTAAAACACCATGTAGCAAATTATATCACCTGTACTTTTAATGATGACAGACTCAACTCCAACACTTTATATAACCTCCATGTTTACCAGACTGCACTGACTCCCTGGCAGTATAACCATAAAAAATATATTGTTCAAAACACATTCATCAGAGACTAAACACCATCAATCAGTTACTCCACTGCAAAATTTCATTTTTCATTTTTATATAATAAACTGAAAGCAAGCTACACAGAAACAGTGGTTGCACCAAAGCATGGGTTAGAGTAGGCAGATTTTCTAAACCTACAAGACATAGCAAAACTCTTCACATGGCCAATACCCAGATCACATACTGCAGAAAGCCAGAAGGAAGAGAAACTCTCAGAAATTAGACTCTGCAAACATTATGTGACACAGAAACCTTCACTTAGTTCTCCCCTGTACGACTATCCTCAAGCCCTAATCTAGTCTTTGTCACCACCTGTCACAAAGGACACACAGGACAGAAAAAGTTTCCTATGGATTTGCATTAGTTCCAGTGCTAGATAATTACTTTTCTGCATAAAACATGAGTTGCTAAAATATATTCTGAGGATCCCAAGTCTCTAAGAGAACACCACAGAGGCATCCAACCTTCACAATGGTCAGTATCCTTCCTACTACCCTCTCTGGCCTTTCATACAGTATCCTCCTCAGCCCCAGCCAAAGAACTTTACAAACAAGCTGACAAGCCTGTCTTATTTTCAGGTGCCTAGGGAAAAATGTTTTTGAAACCAACTGTTTTTGTGGGTATGGACTGTTACTACTTGAAACTTCATTTTAATTCTCTATGAAGTATGAAGCTGAAGAATCACAGTTGTAAGCAGAACTGTTATAAGCCACCTACAGATTTAATTAGATTGAAAATCAGACAAAACTAAAATGTTCCTTTTTTTCTTTGTTATATGCATTACATTCTTTTAGACATTAGGAAGCATTTTTTTAAGGCAAGAGTGTGGTCAAACACTGGAACAGGCTTCCCAGAGAGGTGGCCGATGCCCCAAGCCTGTCAGTGTTTAAGAGGCATTTGGACAATGCCCTTAATAACATGCTTTAACTTTTGGTCAGCCCTGAAGTGGTCAGGCAGTTGGACCGGAAGGGACCTACAAGGATCATCTAACTGAAATATTCTGTTCTATTTATTGTCAGCATTATATGCCTACTCAGTTTCAAACAGTCTCAAACTTCTATTTCTTGGCCCAAATGCACTGCTTTTCTCAGCCCAAGCTCTTACAGTTTTCTTTTTAGTGTATTAACTCATGCTTATCAATCAGAAAATTCCTTTCCTCAACAGAAAGCCTTACAAGGAGCGAGTCTACAATACCATTTGCATTTGGGTCAGTAGCAGAGTTCTGAAGCTCTATAATTTACCAAGCTTTAAAGAGAGATTACTTTTGAGGAAAACTACATGAGAGTATGAAAACCGGTAGTACATCTAACACTAAACAAACCCACATCTAGCAGGTGTTTGAACTACAGGACCAGATTCTCAGTGTTGCACAGGTAACAGGGAAGATGAAGATGTATTCTCTTCATGCAGAAATGAACCTCTCAGGAACAGGGCACGATAGCCTCCCCAGCCTGATCCTGGATTGTCAGACTACTGCAAAAGTGGTACATTACTGTGGTGAAAACACTGTGCTTCTGTCTAGGCAGTTATATAGAAAAGCACAGACCAACAGGCACTGTCCAGAGTGAACAACTTATGAACATCTTCCCCTGTATCTTTTACTGTTTGTTCTTCCTCGCCCCCGCCCCCAATTCAATACTCAGAAGAGAAATGCCTATTTAAAATAAACACCTCGATTATATAAATAGCTCTGGAATTGGGATTAAGAAGTCATCAACTGACATTTTCAGAAGCATGCATTAGAAGCACAATCAAAACACAGGTATGCATGAACTGTAAGCAAGCTGTTTCATGACAATATTTCAAGACTTCTGATAATCTGCTTTTTGGTACCACCTGCAGGTAGTACACAGAAGGTGTGGAAAATAATGCCGCATTTCAGATACTGAGTTGTGATGGTCATGTATTAACTCAAATTATTTCTTCAATATTTTAAGGTGTACCCATTTTTACCATTTCAGAACTGTCCAGCACAATTACCACTGAAGACTAATAATTATTACCTAGTAAATCCATTCTGCATAAGCTCTCTTTGAAGTTTCTGGTCTTGAGCAGCATATTCCTGAAGCTCAGATTCCACAGCAGGGGGTAGAATGTTTGGGATGAATTTTGAAAATAAAGCTGGTGCCATCTGTACCCATTCTGTAAGAAGAGGGAAAGCAACAACAAAACACGTGGAAGAGATCTTTTGTGAAAAAATTTACTCTTCAACAAATGTAACTTCACTGTCTTTTAAATATATTTAGACTGAATTTAAAAAACCCCACCCAAACAAAAAAACCCCAAACCCTACAGAAACCAAGCCTTAAAGCAGAACAAATAATCAGACTGTTAATATCTGATGTTTACACACAGATAAAGGAATAGCTGGGTTTTTTTGTAATCAACATATTGAAATTCAGTTCTTGCTGCACCTCACAGGGCCTGCTGAGTCTCTGGACACATTCAAGGACAGGCACTGATGATCAGCAAACTCACCTTGCTAATCAGATAATTTCTAACTCTTCACCCCAGGAAGCGTATTCACAAAATTTACACCTCTCTTCCCTGAATCATACTTCTAGGAAGCACAGTAGTATCACCATACAAGCCTGCTTCTTCCCCTGAACCCCCCATTTCAAATGAATTAAGGTAATTCTCTCACTGATCTCCCAAAGCTTAGATGAACACTTTTTAAATGTTCATTATAAAATTTTAACCTGTATTAGTTCAGTTTCAGGATAGAAATATGATTTAATTTCACAACACTGAGCATCGCCTTGCAGGAGCAAGACATTTTACCTTAAAGCTGCTTCAAGGATGATTATAAGAAACACAGAAGACTGAGCAAAGGGTGAAAACTGGGTTTATTGCAACTGTGTAAGAAGTTCTGAGAAAAATAAAATACTTCTCAAGTATTTCTGAAGCCAGACTTTCCAGAGGTTGTGGCCATTATCTTAAACTTCATCTTTACTTGGAAAAAAGGGATGCTTTTAAATATATTCACTAAGGCACATCACGAGATTTTATCCAATTCCCACTTACATTTACTTGGTTGATGCCAAGCTTCAACAGTCTTGTCTTTAATCAGCAAATTCACTAAATTATCCTTATTGGTGTACAGGTGGTTTAAACAAAAAACAATGCACTACTCTCCCTTCATCAGAAAATCATATAATCGTTTAGGTTGGAAAGGACCTTTAAGACCACCATGTCCGTTAACCTAACACTGCCAAGTCCACCACTAACCCATGTCCCTAAGCACCTCGTCTACCTGGCTTTTAAATACCTCCAGGGGTGGGGACTCAACCACTTCCCCAGGCAGCCTGTTCCAATGCTTGACCACCCTTTTGGTGAAGAAATTAATTTTTCCTAATATCCAATCTAAACCTGTCCTGGCGCAACTTGAGGCCATTTCCTCTTGTCCTATCACTTGCTACTTGGGAGAAGAGACCAACCCCCCCCTCACTACACCTTCCTGTCAGGTTGCTGTAGAGAGCAATAAGGTCTCCCCTCATCCTTCTCTTCTCCAGGGTGAACAACCCCAGTTCCCTCAGTTGCTCCTCACACAACTTGTCCTCCAGACCCCTCACCAGCTTTATTACCGTTCTCTGGGCATACTCCAGCCCCTCAATGTCTTTCTTGTAATGAGTGGCCCAAAATTGAACACAGCATTCAAGGTTGTTGTGGTTTAACCCGGCAGGCAGATGAATACCACACAGGCGTTTGCTCACTCCCCCTCACCTCAATGGAATGGGTGAGAGAATCAGAAAAAAAAAGTAAAACCCATGGGTTGAGATAAAGACAGTTTAATAAAACAGCAGAGGATAATAATAATAATAGAATATACAAAACAACTGATGTACAATGCAAATACTACCCACCAGCTGACCAATGCCCAGCCTGTCCTTGAGCAGTGATCACTGTCCCCAGGCCAACCCCCCCCAAGCATGGTGTCATATGGTGTAGGATACCCCTTTGGCCAGCTGGGGTCAGCTGTCCTGGCCGTGCCCCCTCCCAGCTTCTTGTGCCCCTGGCAGAGCAGGGGAAACTGAAAAGTCCTTGACTAGGGTAAGCACTGCTCAGCAACAACTAAACCATCAGTGTGTTATCAACATTATTCTCATACTAAATCCAAAACGCAGCACTATGCCAGCTACTGGGAAGACAATTAACTTTATCACAGCTGAAACCAGGACAGAAGTGCAGCCTCACCAGTGCCCAGTACAGGGGCACAATCACTTCCCTACTCCTCCTGGCCACACTATTCCCGATACAAGCCAGGATGCTGTTGGCCTTCTTGGCCACCTGGGCACACTGCTGGCTCATATTCAGCCAGCTTTTGGCCAACACTCCCAGGTCCTTTTCCGCCAGGCAGCTTTCCAGCCACTCTTCGCCAAGCCTGTAGCGTTGCATGGGGTTGTTGTGACCCAACCACTAAACCATGTCTTGTTAAACCTTATACAGTTGGCCTCAGCCCATCGATCCAGCCTGTCCAGGTCAAGCAGGACCTGCCTTTCATAAACGCATGCTGGCTGGGCCTGATCACCTGGTTGTCCTGTACATGCCATGTGATGGCACTCAAGATGATCAGCTCCATAACCTTCCCTAGCACTGAGGTCAGACTGACCTGTAGTCAGACAGGCCTGTAGTTCCCCAGATCATAGCAGCACTTGATTAAACAAAAACAAACAAAAAACAAACCCCAAACTGAAACAAAACCACTCTACAGACATGAAACAGCACTCTTCTTCTCATGAAATACAGTAAAAAGGTACCATGTAGAATGTGTTACCTACTAAAAACCTACAGCTACTAAATAATTTAGCCAAGCTGATAAACTGACTTGGAATTCACAACATGAAATACTGTGGTAGGGTATTTCATGCCACAGCCAGATTGTTATAGGTGAGGTGAAAATAGCATTTCAGATTAAATCCAAGTGGGCAACCAGCAGCCTGAGCACCTGCCCAGGCTTCAGCGTTTTCTATTGGAGCCACCACATGCTGGAGCTAGAATCAGAAGACAGTATTTTCTGGCAATGTTTGAAGTCTAACAGCTGTCAAGTACTTTCAACTTGCAGAAAAGTAAAAGAAGAGAAAGAAGAGAAAGCCCACAGCCACCAGCCACATCTGCATAGATTCTCCTTTTACTCTCTGCACTGCCTAAACACAGACACTTCCCAGTGCTGCTCTAATCCCTTGATACCTCCCACTGGCCACATTTTCTGCTTTACTTCCCCAGTTATCTGCCCACCAGTCCCCATGATACATCCAGTGGAGCGTGTCCCACAGAATAAGTGAGAAGCACTACTTTGGATGAACTCTTGCCCTGGTTGTTTCAGAAGTCATCCTCAAGAACCAGCACCACCAAAGAAAAGCCTTTTACACCAAGAAGTCTACCCTGTGCTCTTCTAGTCGGAATGACATTAAAGTTCCTCATTTTCTCAGACGCTGAGAAATTTGAAGAGCAGGTAATTAGAGCAAATATGTATCTGATTAAGCAACAGCTTAAAGTCAATCACTTGGGTCTTACAACCCAGCAGATATCACAAACTGTAGGAACAATTCTTAACACTTTAACATCTTACAGACATATGACAACTATTCAAAATGTGATTAGGCTCATGATACCAACCCAAACCACTATCTGTTGTATTGTGAAATAGACAGCAAACCAGCGATCCTCTGAAATGGAAAACTGGGAAATCACAAATCCATCACCTATAATATTAAGACCAGTACAAGAAAACCAGATTGAGCTGCTTTCGAAAGAATTTTAATTTTATACTTATGCATACACCCTTCCTTTCTTTGGTACTGAACAGTTTATAAAATTGAAAATAGTATTGCCTTAAAAATGATGGTAGGATGTTAGTTTTGCTGTTGTATTGTAAAAATAATCCTTGCGTATTGAAAGTGCTTTATCCATACATTTTGTAAATGGAGGGTCCACCACATTCCTGGCTTGTATACATGATGAACATTGCACTAAAGCTTATTGTAAAGCTTTCCCATCCTCATTTCTATTTCTATAAATTGGGAATGCAAAGCAAAAATAGACTGAAGCTCAGACAAAATCCTTCTCTAGTCACACCAAAGTAAGAAGAAAGTATCAGTATTGTAAAAGGAAGGGAAGCAGGTACCATTTATTTATGAATATTTTTAATACTTCCTGTTTCTAAAGTCTTTTTGAACACAGGCTAGAGCTCTACTCAGTTCTCCAAAACTTACAATACCGAAGATTTTGGTACAAAATTGATTAAAATCAGCAACACCATTTTCCTTTCAATAACAGTTGTTGCACAAGATGTCATTATGTACTCACAAGTTAAATAAAGCTCTTCTGTGAAATAATACCAACCCAATAATGGCTTCATAGAAGAAACAATCATTCATCTCACATCAAAGATCTGGCCATCTGAAGGGCAACTCATAACACTCACCATTTCAATACTTCTAGACTTCTGCCATGACTGACGCATTAAACAGCCGCCTTTATTTCTATAGAGCAAAAGAAATAGGTCTTCCCTTTGTCTCCAGAGTTGAGGGTTGGGTTGGTTTTTTTTAAAATTAATTTAGTATTCACGGGTACCTTGTGCAGGTCACAGAAATGGGCAAGAAGAACCAGGGCCTTTGCATAGTAGAGCTAAACATTATGATGGACAGACCACAATGCACATTTGTATGCTAAATATGCATTAGAGAGATAGCAACCACATACGTATTTAGGAAAATGTGTCACAACCACAGTATGCGAGACTCCTAGAAACTTCTTTCTTTTTTACCTGGTCGTAGTGTATACAGTCCTTTCACAATATTTGCCATGGTTGAAGGAGTTATTTGAAACGGCGTTGACTGAGCTTCCAAAAGTAAAGCTGAAATAAAATTAAGAGAATTAGAAATTTTTCTAATCAAGAAATATAGGCTCTTACACACACGGTTTTGTATCAAAGAAATACAGTAGTTACGCTTTTTTGTTATCTGATGTCTGCACAAAGGAAACACACAGGTATCTGATTGACAACTTAATTCTCAAGAATAATAAAACATTGCCTTTAAATAGAAGTATTCTGTTCAAATTATGTATGATGAAAACGTGAAATAACTTATTTTTCATCCTTTTTCAGACAGACAGCAGGAGTTGTGAGGAAAAACCAAGCAAGCGATGGCTCTAAGTAATCGGATGCAGAACTGAAGTAAACAATTTATTTTTAGAAGCACTGTCATACTGAGTGTGCTAGACACCTGGAGATCCACAAATCCTTACTTTACAGTATTCAGCATCTTGCATGTAAAACTAAGGATGGATTGAAAGTCTATGAATAAAGTACAAGTAGCATAAAATATGTGAAAAATACGAAAAACTGTTCTTTGAAACACAAGTGAACATTTCATTCTTGGTATCTTCTGTAGTAAACATTGCAATAATTGCATCTTCCTCTTGTGGAAAAAACTGGCAATAGCACATTTACTGCTTATATTACAACATCCATGCCTTTATCCTGCCTTGTATTAATTTGATGTTTATACACACATTTAATTATAGAAACACCAAAAGAAAAAAAAAAAAAAGAAATCAATAAGGTTTAAACCAACTGCTGCCTCTCAGTTTTTATTCCTCTACAAAGGAGCTGAGCAATATATACACCTTTCTGTATCCACTACATAGAGGATACATGACTTAAAATTCTACCTAAAGGGTGTATCTCTTGTGCTTACATTAGAGACTTTGCTTTTTAAGCTTCAGAGCATCTTCAGTTCTAGCTTCAGCATCTGCCACTACAGTACTTACCATAAAAAAAGTCTTTAGCAGCATGTTCTTCTCTTTCAGAAACTGTTTAAGTGTCTCACGTAATAGGGAGATTAAAAAAGAAGGTATTTTTTTCTAACCTCCAAGTAATCAAAAGTTGTTATATTTAACTGTTGTAGATTAATTTATTTTACCAAGAACCATCTTACAAGTTCTTGCTCCTTTCAGCTGAAGCCTTGAGGGGATGCGAGCCTATGATTTGTTTTGTAATGACATATTTACAGCCTCTTTCCTAAAGATTTTTCAATCAGCCTGTTGGCAGCCAAGGAAGTTGCAAATCATAAAATGAAAAAGGGCATAATGCTTTATAAGGAAGATACACAACAGTAATGCACATTTCAAACAATGTGTATATATACATATATATAATTAGATTGTAGCTACTTCAGCCTAAGCTTCACCAATGGATTTGCAAAGTGTCCAGAGAATTGTAAATTTGTTCTTCATATGCAGACAAATTATATTCCTAAGATATGTATAACACATTATTTAAAACAAAATAAGCCTAGGAATTAATACTGACACAAACACCACAAAGTCCAGAGTTAAAAGTCACTTCAACATTTTGAAAGATGTTAAGAAAATTAAATTAATGTAGCTTGTTGAATTTATTCCTGCAAACTGTGGTCTCAGTAGTATCCAAGTTATAACTAGCAAAAGCAATTAAAAAATATTTCAGAAGCTACCTTATGCAACTGTATATGTACAAGACATACTGTGGGACAAACACAGGCATTAACAGAAGCTGCCCACAACTACGTTAACTAACTAGAGGGCATCTGACTACTTGGATACCTCCGAGTAAACAGAAAATTGCAAGCCACACTTATTCCATCTATGGATGAAATCTGAAATACAGTGACTATACTCTGAGCAGTTGTATGTACTGTCATCTTTCAATTTTATTTATTTTTTTTTAATAGGGGGGAACAAGTAGATGGCAGAGAAACAAAAACTTTGGTTTATGGTACATATGAATCAAAGACAAGAGGTGATGAGCACAACAGACTGGCGGCCCACCTCATTCCTCTCAGCCCACGGTATTGAAGACATGCTGGGGGTGCAAGATGCTCCACCCTTTCTTATTCCCTTCCAGCTAATGGAAAGCCCCACAGCACTCCCACAAGTGGTCCATTAACATGTTCAAGGTGCTGACCAATAGAAGTATTTGTACAAGCAATAGTTTAAGAGCATAGTCCACATCTTGAACATAGTTCACCATTTTAAACATGCAATATTATTTGTCACTTTAAGTTATTATTCACTGCTAAAGCTCATTTCAGTTGTGATCCTTTGAGATAATGTGAACAGATGTATTTGCAATATAAAAGCAAGTAAAATGGGCAGCCACTTGTTTCTGTTCTAGATTACTGACTATATTACCTGACACTAGAAAGGGATTTTGTGAATAAAATCAGTGGAAGAATTCACCTGGAGATCAATCCTACAGAAATATCTTCTTCATCACTTTATTGCAGCTTCAGAAATTAATGTTTCTTATCTTTGTTTCTGCAAATGCATACACCACATACTACAATGCAAACTTAAGTCGCTCTACTCCAGATTTACAGTCAATAAATAAATACAAGCATGATGGCATTATACTCAACAACATAATAAAGTAATGGCATATATTTCCTGTTTCTCTGTGAAGAAAACTAAAAGTGTATACAATTCGTTAAACCATACAGTACAAACTAATCCAGCCTACACCTTTTCCAAAAGCTAGATTTCAATACCTGAAGAATGCTGTAGGATATGTATTTTCAGAATGATTTCCATAAGAATGAACAAGACTCTTCTCTTTGGATAGATCCAAAACATCTCAGTGCAGGTTTATAGACAAAGATGTAAATAGATAAAAGATGTAAAACTTCTTCGTACACAAATTAATCTTCACTTTTGCAATGAAACCTACCTAAACCTTCAATCCTATATTACTTCTTCAGAGGGCCACTTAAACTCAAATAGAAACAGCTGTGCCACACATGCTGAAGTTACCTGTTGTTATTTTACAGTCTTGCGAAAGACCTCCAAACATTAAGGCTTTGACTCTTGCTTTATTAGAATAATTAACGAGAACTCTACAACACAGAAGTTGCACAGACTCCTACCTACTCCCGGAAGCTCCACCTGCGGCATTTACAAAGATAGAGCAAGGTGAGGTAGAATACAACTAAACCTCAGATGAATGACAGCAGTAATGACACTAAGATACTATCTGACCACCTCCACAGTGTTTATGAACTAATACTGCATTTTACAGACTAAGTAACCAGTATTAACCTGAAAATAGTCCTGAAAATAAGTCATGGCAGAATCAAAGAAGAGAAGTGTGGATTCCCATGATAAAATGCTTTAATTGCAGAAAGATACAAGATGCTTTGAAATATTATTGAACCAAGGTAAGACACAATACCCAGAATGGCCTTGGGATTTTTTTGAGGAATGATGGATGAATTGTATTGGAGTAAGCAAGATATGAATCTGCAGCACTTCAGGTACTCTGCAGTAAATTAGTTACTCCATAATTGTACAGCAACACTGACGCAGCTTATCCCTCAATGAAGGTTTAAGCTATTTCTTAATTATAGTGGGGTACATGGTGCAAGATCTGGGACCACAGTAATTCCAGGAGTTAGCTATTCTAAAAAATCTTTTTCTATCCTTCATCATTCTTTTCAAAGCAGATTAATTTTGCTTGGTAAAGATGTAATTTTTCTGGCAGGACAGTGCAGCTTTTGCATGTTAGCACACAAGATTTTTTTCCTCCCTCTGCAGCAATCTAACAGCACTTCAGAGTAAGATACTTTAACAAATCATACGTAAGTATGGCTTAGGCAGATGTGTTCAAGGTTGTAATTATTCAACAATGCACTTCAAAAAATTAAAGTGTATTCCCATTAAAAACAAATCCAACAGCTTCCACAACTAAGGCATTAGTCAGCTCCTGCTCTCCAGTCTTCAGCAGAAGCAGAACCAATTGCTTAACGAAGCTGCAGAGCAAAACACATGTATTCCAGAGATCTTATCTCATTGCAAAAACTGTGCTCTTTAATATTTAATTCCAATATGTATGCAGTATTTATATTATTTTGCAGAATAACAACTTCAGTATTTCCACAGAACTGGAGCCCTTACACAACAGTACGTGAGATACACAGGGATGCACAGAAGTAACGATGGAGCCATCACCAGTGCACAGCCTAAACAAACCTTAATAGCACAGGCTCACCTGGCAGTTCCGCCCTTTAGGAATATCATCAGATCACATGTAGTCAAATCTATAGTATAATAAATTACCTTTCTCTCAACTAAATTATATCAGGTCCATCTGACCACACATACCCTTCAGATTCACCTTGAACATGGTTCCCATATCTCAACTTTACTTCCAAATCCAGCCCATGCAAAAGCACATGATTGAATCCCACATGCCAACAGCAATTAAACAGCAAGGGAACCGCTACAACTGGCGTTCAAGATGTGGCTGTAGGTTTTTGTTGTTGTTTGGGTTGAGGTTTTTTGGGAGGCTGGTTGGATTTTCGTTATTTCTTTTGTTCTTTGGCATTTTGGGTTTGTTGGGTTTTTTTACCTGCTGCCTATTTTATTTTTAAATTGACTGATGAAGTTTGATCATATATTACTTTTTCATTACTTTAACCCAGGTACAATTTGTACATGTTAACTATTGATCTAGAACTTCAAAAACCTTTTGCATGAAAACCAACCTTCCCTCTGGCTTAACCCTCATGTTTGCAGTTATGTCAAACTCCTTGTGATTCTGCATTTTTTAGCAACTTAAATTCTTCAGAAGTTTGTAATGAATTAAAATATAGAAGAAAAACTGAAGAGTTGTATTTATTATTAAGCATTTGCCACTAGGCATTTAATAAAGCCACAGATTACTTTTAAAATATTCATTACATAGCCCAACAGCATTATTAATCATCTAATAAAAATGCTACAAAATAAAAATTCCAAGTCTTAATCACATGGAAAATATTGTGTTGTAACAAGAATAAAGATGAAAAACAAAGCTATAAATATAGAAGTCCAAAAGTC